GTCAAATACAAGACTGTGTTAAGTACTACTAGAAGTAATTATTCACTATAATCCACCTTGCTCAGCAAAAGTGGAATAAGATTTATAAATAACTTGTTAACATAAAATCGGTAGATGCTTTATTAGTGATACTTTAAGAAGCATTTAACAGCAATTTTCAGAATTATGTTCGCACTAGCCAACATGTTTGACTCTCTCCATTTGTATAATTTGTCCCATTCCCCAAGTCATTTTGAAATTTTATTGTTTCCTGTCCCAACTCTATAGATGCCCCTGCCTCGTCGACCATTTGCTATTTGGTGTATAATTTATTATTTTCCCGTCCGTTCACTCTAGTGATATTATTGCTCTTACTTAAAGCTTGGAGTGACTTCTGATCCCAACACATGGTTTCCATAGTTCCCACTCACATTTAGGCAGGAACATCTGATTTTTCACCCCATGATGGAAAGCAGCCCTGAGGAGAAGGGCCCCCACCCTGCACACGTGCACGTCCCCTGACTACAACCCCTCCCTGCGGCACAGAAGAGGGACCACACCGCCACAGGCAGTTAGCTGTGCTCCTGTCCTATCCCTGGAGCTCCATTCAGTCTAGGCTTATAATCAGTCAGAAGCACTCAACATTGATGTACATTCATTGAATCTCACAACCACCCAACTCAACAGCCATCACTATCCTGATCTTACAGGTAAGGGAACTGAGGCTGGAAGAACCGAGGAAGCTGTCTCAGGCTACAAGCAGCTGCAGGAGAGCCAGGGCTTGAATCAGGAGGTGGGCTCCAGAGTAATACTCTTAACCTGCAGGACATCCCTCATATCCTAAGTCCAAGCCACACTCTTGACATGCTGTCCTGTATTTCAACCAAGCAGGCAGAAAAACAGCAATGTCCATCCCCTGCCCAACCTGTGAGGCTCCTTCAGACCACTCTCTGTGCAACGTCTCCTGATTTTTGATGCCATCAGAAGGCAGCATTTGAAACACATCCCCATTGTTGGAGAAAGAGACACACCATCTTCTTCTGACTCACATTTTAAAAAACACTTCTTGATCCACCAAAATGAAACATGTGATTTTACTTGACTAAAGGCCATGAACCAATACGAAAGGCAGTTTGTAATTCTCACTCAGATATTCATGGTAGAATTCCTACTTCTTTGTCTTTTAAATACATGATTTGTTAAACACAGAGCTCGTTAGCAAAATATGTATTTTGTCAAAACTCAGACTAAGTCTTCATTCCGTTGGTTCTCCCTGAAGGAAAATGAGGATGCTTGAGGGGAGACCCCAGTGTACTACCTGCAAGGGGGGATACGCTGGCTTGTATTCACGTCACACTTTGGTACCAAGATGGTGCAAGCGAAGAACATGAGATATTTGTAACAGTTGGTCTGAACAAGTGCAGGGAAGAGAGAGGACTCCCAGCTGATGGATGCTTCCTTTTGTGTCCTGTGGCCAAGGTAATTTGGGTAACTTGTATGGTTGTAGGGCAAATTCATGCAGAGTTCCAACGTAATTGTCTCACACTGACCTAACAAAAAACACACATACACATATACATATTACATAACTGTTTAATTTCACATGTAAGACAATTTCTTAAAAGCTTACAAAATTGAAGTCTATCTTACCCTCTTTCTTTAAAGTAGCTAAGATAAGAATGAACTATATTCAATACCTTGCAATAGCCTACAATGAAAAAGAATAAGAAGAGAAATATATTCATGTATAATTGAATCACTATGTTGTATCCCAGAAACTAACAAAACACTAAACTGACTATACCTCAATAAAAAAATAAAATAAAATAAACTGGACCTCACTTAAATTAAGAACATCACCAGTATATATACACAATGGAATACTACTCCAGCCATAAAAAAGAATGAAATCTTGCCATTTATAACAACATGGATGGACTTTGAGGGAATTACTATAAGCAAAATAAGACAGATGGAGAAAGACAAATATTGTATGATTTTACTCATATGTGGAATCAAAAAAAAAAGAAAATCAAACAAAACAAAACAGAAATAAACTCATAGATACAGAAAACAGATTAGTGGTTACCAGAGGGGAAGCTGATAGGGGATTAAGGAGTTGGCTAAATGAGTGAAGGGGACTAATTATATGGTAACAGATGTGAATTAAACTTTTGGTGGTGATCACTCTGTAGTGTTTACAGATAATCAAATTATAATGTTGTGTACCTGAAAGTTAGGTAATGTAATATATCAATTATACCTCAACTTAAGAAATTTAAGAACATCTGTTTACCTAAAAGAAAAAAAAACGAAGAGAGTGTAAAGTATATGTACATATAATCTAGAAAATGTAAAGAACCCTTATACATTAAAAAGGCAAATAAAAATAATATAGTCATGGAAGTGATATTCATTAAAAAAATCAATGAGCTTGGCTAAATAAGCAATTATATGACTTTCTAATACATGTTTTATTATTGTTCAGTGTATAATGCTACATGATTTAAGGGCAAGAGGAGGCGGAGGTCCATTGGCTATCCATTACCAGTGAGATGATTCCTCACCCTTTATCTTGGCATCCAAGGCTATTTCATACTCCAAACCATAGCCCAACTTTCCAGCCTCACCACCAGTGACTATCTCACCAGCAGTATATTCTTAGTAACACCAGACGTTTTAAGAATTGCATGCCTTTGTGGGCCCTGTGAGCTTCTCTTTTATCCCCTTCTTCCCTTCACACACTTGTAAACACCCTTCAAACACAATCATGCTTCTAGCTGCCAAGTGAATAGAGCACTTACTGCCTGGAATCATCTTTTTCATCCTCCCCATCAAGCAAATTCGTCCTCTGTCTGCAGCACTCAGCACAAACACCACTTCCAGGAAGCCTTCCTGGCCAACCACCCATCCCCGCCCACTCCCAACAGGAATCTCTGCTGAGAGCCACAGAGTCACCTGCCATGCAAATTGCCCTCTGCTCTATTCTTGACTGACTTACTTGCCCACCCCCACCGAATTCTGAGATTTTTGTGAAATGAGACTTTATATCTTGATCTCAAAGCCTATATCTAACACAGTGCAAGAATTAAGGAAGGAAGGGGTTGGGGGACAGTCAGCAATGTAAAAACATTTCAAATGTAAAAATATTGAAGAATAAAGCCCCTGCCATTAAAGTACTCTAAGTCTTCAGAGAAGAAAGACACAGGTGAGGTAGCCGCGGCATAACGTGAACAGGCCAGGATCAGCGGTATTGAACAAAATGCTGAGTCCAGGACGACGAGGTGGGCAAGAGCAGCTGGTGGAGCCTTCCCAGGGTAAGTGGGGTTTGAGTAGGTCTTGCAGTACAAAGGCTTCCAGCTGCCTCTCTGTCTGCGGAAGATGCGCCACATTCCGGGCGAACAGAAGTAATCAAGGGAGTGGCTTGGGGGAATCAAGCCCACCGAAGACTTCACACCTTTTTAAGACTAATTATTCAAATTGAATTTAATGACTTGACTAAGAAGTGGTACGCAGGCAAGCTGATTAGCAAGAAGGACTGCAGTGAAATATTAAAACAGCTCTGGGACTATTTCTCAATTTGAAGAATCTGAGGGCTTTGCGGAGGTGTTGCTGATGAACTCTGACGCTGGCCAGATTAAAAACTCTCCTGCACCAAGTGTATAAGACTCAGTTTACTGGGGAAGAAGGAACACTGGAAAGTGGGCACAGTCTTGAGGATGCCGGCAGGGTGGAGAGAAAGAAAGAGATGGACGAGGTGTGGGTGGGATGGGCTCAGCTGGTCACTTCTTCCATTCGTGAAAGAGGAATAAAGTTAAGGTGTTTCAATTTCAGATTACACACAAAAAAATGCATATTCTTTAAAACAATAAAAACAATACAAAGATGCACACAGGAAAAGCCCATTACCTCCCCACCCCTTTTCTCTTAACTTCCCTCAAAGCAAACAGGTGGGTTTAATCCTCCCATGCCTTTCACTTGCTCATATTGATACATACAAGCATTTACACACCCAGGCAGAGATTCGTCTTTGCTTTTGCGAAAGTAGAATCGTACTACTCCTGTTCCTCTTCAACTTGCTTTTGATGCTTAATTGCCTATCATGACCATCATGACAAATCAGTAAATGCAGTTCAAACTCTATTTTTCCTAATTTCTTTAATATATTTATAATTTTACAAAAACTGGGATCACTCACACACATTTTGATGTAGTCTTTTTTTCCCTGCATATGCCTTTTCTTTCTCTCTCTTCCTCAATCACCCTATCAAGTTTTTACTTTTCGTTGGTTTATTCCATTGAGATGATTAGTAGACATATCACATGGGTAACTTTTCTCTCTTTTGATATGTGGTGGATGTATCAGTTTTGATTTGGGATAAGACAGAATCTTTAAGCGTTTAGAGTCAAGGGAGATGAAAGGAGTAAGTTATGATCATATATCATTCTGAGATCTTAAGTGAATGTGGTTAAGGTTGATTGAATCTTGTTTTGTTCCTTCATAAAGGCATTCTTCAGAATGCTAAGCAAAATAAAATCTCAAGATATCTGGCAGCCTCAAATTCTATGATTTATGGTATCAGTAAACTTTTTTAATTTCAGAGTTTGTTTGTTTTAGTTTTAGGATGGTCACTTTACAACATGTCAGTTTCTGGTGTACAGCATGTTTTAGTCATACATATTCATATATTTCTTTTCAATTCTTCTTCATTTCCATTATAGGTTACTACAAGATACTGAATATAGTTCCCTGTGCTATACAGAATGAACTTGTTGTTTATCTGTTTTATATATAGTAGTTAGCATCTGCAATCAATAAACTTCCTAAGCTTAAGCATTAGACTCACTCATGACTGATTTACAACAGCCACTAGAGGGCGATCTCATCACAAACATGTGGGAACATTTTGCTGTTGCAGGGCCGTTTTCAGAGTTTGAAAGGTATCCTGAACACAGACAAGGTTTATTAAATATCTCTTGAAAAACTAATCCTGATGGAGTCTGCATGATAGACCACCTTTCAAAGTCTGAAACAAGATTTGTTAAATTCAACCTAAAGACAGTTTGTTAACTAAATGATATTACATCTTTATCGTGATGTAATACCTCAAGCCTTTGGAAATCATGTACTATGGTGGTTATTCACATGGGAAGACGTCATTTTCAACATCCATTAGCATATATATGATTCCAAGATTCACTTTTGCATCAAACTTTAAATCTCTCTTTATCATTATTATTTTTAATAACTTGAAGAGCTATATTACAAGGTGAACACCCTTGTAGTTAACCCAGGTCAAGAAACTGAACTTTGCCAAGCATCCCAGATGCCCTCCATATACGTCTTATGTCAACTTCTCCTTCCCCTACGAAGAACCTACTGAGTTTCAGAGTTATCCCTTCTTTACTCTTCTTTATAGTTTTACTATCTGAGTATACACCGCACCCTAGACACCACAGTTTAGGATGACCCATTTTTGAAAACCTATTTTGTCTTTCAAGTCTCTTACAGTGTTTGTGTTCCCTTCCCACCTCTTGATGTTTTCTTAACTATTGAAGAAACCAGGGATTTGACCTGCAGCGTGTGCTGGAGGTTGGATTTTGCTGATTGCACGCTCATGGTGAGGTTGAACACGATCCCCCGTCCTCCTGGTTTCCCAACAGCAGCTGAATCCAGGGGGTTGATTAGGTTTCATCCCTTTGGCAAGACTCAAGGTGCTGCCCTGTTCTTTCCTCAGAAGACACATCTACCTGATTGCTTTTCATGATGTCTACAGCTGCACGTCCATGATCAGTGACTTGACCCGTTAATTCCCTTCATTACCAAATGAAGTGTTCTAATTCAATCATGTATTTTTCACTTGTTAGTTGGGAATGCTTTTAGAAAGAGATCATTCCTCTCTTCTATGATTTGCTCCCGAGAACTAAAGCCCTTAAACATTATGTTTGGCTTTTTTGTTTTTATAATACACCCTTACACTATTTGTTCCTTCCAACCAGAGATTGCAAAGGGAGGGAAGGAAATTGACAGGCCACTGGGAAATTATTCAAAGGTTCGTTTCTTCCTAGAAATAACTATTCGATGGCAGTGGGGGAGTCATACTACCATCTTCCCACTCATTATGTGACTTTGGTTTTCTCTTTATGTTCTTCTTTCCCAAGGGTCTCACTGTCTAATCAGCTACTTCATTCACCATAGATGTTCTTGCCAGGTTCTCTCCGGATATATTTAACAAATCTTTGAACACCCCTGACTCTGCATGCCAGATACTGGGCTAGTCATTGGTCCCCATTTCTTCTGTGCTATTAAAAATAAGTGTTGAAGAAAAAAGTATAGAATAAACATGTAGACCTAAGGGTACATGGGACACTATGGGAAACCACGAGGGTCCTTGAGGTACAACAGCCATGCCGGCTTCACACAGCCCTGGCACTCGAGGGCACAGGGATGTGGGGAGAGACACACGCCCGGGAGCTGCTCTCACCACCAGGCTCCCCCAGCTGTGCGCACTGCACACTATGCAACGGAAGTGATGGGTCAGCCCCTCCACACCACAGTGAGGGGGAGTAACAGTCCAGGTCCTAACCCCTAAGGCAAGGATATATCTGCACTTTGCCTCCCAGCAGGGTGCAAACATTTTAAAGATTGTGGGCTGGAGTGGATGTGGTGATACTGTGATACTTCAAGCCATCAGTACACAATCATCTGAAATGTGTAATTTAGGCTTCTTAAAGAAAATTTTTAGGCATTACTGGGAATCTGAGATAAAGCATGGACCTACTCCAGTAAAAAAATATGAAAAACATAAAGATATTTCTCACGTCCAATTTCAGGAATGTCACTACCCCCAGCATTCTAGTCATGAAGAGGCCACTAAAGCAATGACTCTCAACCTTGGCTGCAAAACGTCACCTGGGGAATTTTGAAACTACTGATGCTTGGGTCCCACCCAGTATACCTTCAGGGACCATTAGAAAGTTATATAATAGTTTATGGGATGGCAAGAACCACTGTCTTCAAGGACAAGCCACCCAGCCACTCCAGTGAGAGGCTAACTCCACCAGATAGAATATCCAAATTCTCCAAACTCATATTCTCCACTGGCAGGGAGCCAGAGAAAGACAGTGCTGCCCAGTGCCCCAGAATCTAAATGACAGTGATCTCTGATGGTGACGAAGGTCTCTAAATAATTCATCACATTTTCAAGCACATGAAGAGTTTTCCTAGAGGAGATGCTACTTGTCCATGTTTCCAGAGAGCCTAGTACACATACCACCCTGAAGCTCTTTGAAAAGCATCTTTATTCTCAACTGGAAGTTAGACATATACACTGTTTTTAATAACACAGAAGGAATGGGGACCAATGACGAGCCCAGTACCTGGTACTCAGAAGAGGGGGTGTTCAAATGTTTGGTGAATATATACAGAGAGAACCTGGCAAGAAAACCTATGGTGAACGAGGAAGCTGATGAGACAGTGAGACCCTGGGAAACTGAGTGCATTTGAAGAACATAAAGAGAAAATCAAAGTCATAATATGTAAGCGGGAAGATGGCAGTATGTGTCCCCCATTGAACAGTTGTCTCCAGGAAGGCTAGACTCATGTCTTCCTTCCTTGCCATTAAAGTGCCCAGCACCCATCCCAGTGCCTGGGACATCATAAGCACACTATAAATATTAGTTAAATATACATCTGACCCGAGTTATCTAGTGTCCTTCCAACAATTTCTCTTTTTTTAATGGGTGATTACATATTTTTAATCTTGAAATATTTTAAGTACAGAGAAAGAAAGTAGGATAACATAGGCCAGTTACTCCCCGCCTAACTAGGACACGGGCTAACCCTACTGTTTCAACTTTTTTTAAAATCTTACAGTAAGTGCCACTGCACGTCAGACAACCCCCAAAACTTTAATAAATTACACGTGTCTGAGACAACACTGCCATTGTTCAAAATTCTGCATCCCAAGGTCAAGGTGAAGTAAAAAATAATTCTGAAAGAGTTCCAGGGCAAACTGGGAGATACGCAAAGTCAAACACTACATGTATACACCTACATACACATACACACATATACACATACATATGGACACACATACACGTATATTTAATCAGTGTAGAGTGAGCAAAATGACCGTGCATCTTGGTGGTCAGGCTGCTATCTATCGGAACGGTTCTCTCCTGTGGGAAAGGGAGGAGGGCTGGCTACTGCACTTCCAGCCAAACAGCTATTAACAGCTTGTGAAAATAAACAAAAAAGCATGTCAGTCTCAGTTTTTAATTGGCTGTCTCCTTCACAATCCTGTCCAGCTCACTGCTCTCACCCCTTGAAGTCCCCCAAGGGGTAACGGCCCGCCTACAAGCTCTACATTGACCCAGGAAGGTCACGGAGTAGAACCAGGATCCGAAAGCGTCAACAAATTCCAGGACCCAAACCCTTCAGCCTTTCGGCCTCCCAGCCTCCAGAGGCCCTCACTGCTAGGATCTGTGCCAAGAAGTCACGCCTTCTTGCCAGCTGAAAGCTGACAGACGTGCTTCTAAATCTCAAGCCCAAGCACAGGGAGGCCAAAAATTAATTATCAGAAGTGAAAGAAGTGAGCAGAAAATGAAAGCAGAGCCCAGAAGTAAGAAACCATCACTTGAAATCAGAGCCTTTAGGGGTTTTCATTTTAAATTTCCCACAAGACTTTCTGCTCCTCCTACTCATCCCATCTTCCCCTAATCCTTCCTCCTCCTGCAGCCAGTTTAGAGAGAGCCACCTGTCTGGACCACTTGGAGCAGTTCCACTGTCACAGACACAGATTAACATCATGGCCACAAGATCGTTACGATAGACCAGCAAAGTTCCTGGAAGGGTGAGGATAAATTTTATTATGAGAACAGATCGCCAAAGCTTCACGTGGCTGTTTAGATAAACGTCATATTTGCTTCTTGGATTAAGTTTCCATTTTTGAAGCTGGGCTTTAAAAAGGAAGAAAGATAGCATCTGCCAGCTGATGGAGCCAAGAAAATAATATATAGGAGCCGACGCTAAATGGAAAGTCATGGTAATGACATTCAGCAACATGGACTCATCGCCCATGCATGAGGACCCATTTGTTTATGATTTAAGTTAAGTAAGGCCATTTTGCTTCTTTTCTGCTACCACGTGGAAACTTTAAAAAAAAGAGATCATATATATATAATTTATATATATAATAAATATATATACACACACACATACGTATCTTGGAGGGATTCCAGGCTTCAGCATTTTAATGTCAACGCAAAAGGAAAAAGCTGAATGCATATCCTGATGCGGTGATTGTCTTTGTCAGCGGCTGTACTTACTACAGTTATTCAGACTGTTGCCAGGGTCACAAGGAGCGCTGCCACCACATGAATCAAGGCAGGAGTTGTACAGGCATCTTTGGTCTCCTTCTTGACACGGAGTCTGACCTGCAGAGACGGGAGAGGCACATCACTTTGATCAGCACCTGTAAATTTCTCGCACAAGGATCTGAGGGATCTGGTGGAGAGGAGGAATGACACAGCTTTCATTTCCTTCCAACTTCTCCGAAAATATTGAACACATGTTTGAGTAGGTAATTTTTGGATTAATTTTCCTGGTGACTAAATACAGCACAGTTATTCCAGAAGGATTCTGTAGGTATGAAGAAACGAAGAGGCAACCGATCCTCAAAAAAACAGGCTGTTGTTGCTTTTAATGGAAAAGATCGCATTTTTATATTGACAAGGGTGCAGATAGTTGCTTACAAAATAAAATTCCAGTGATTGCAGGGAAAGACCAATATTTTAAAGACCCATTTGATCCCTACTCTAGTCTTCCCTCTAAGGAAAATGCTTTTCTTAATAACAAACAGGGCATCAACACAATAAGGAGGCTTTATCACAGTACGAGTCTCATGCAGCTGTTATCCGGATTTTCTGTGTGTCCTTGGAAAGTATCCTTGGCCTAGCTGCAGTGACCTGAGAATTGGGTTTCTTGTTTCCAAATGAATGACAACAGTAATGTCAGCCTAATGGCTTTTCCTTAAGGTATTTAGAGAGGAAACTGCTTTTCCCACTGATTTCCTGGTCATTTGTAGATTAAATGGATAAGGTAATAAATTACTGCCCATTCACTTTCCAGCTCTCCCCCATTATAGCCAATTACTTTCAGATCCATCATCTGGAATCTAGAAAATCTCGCAAGGCATTTTTAAATGTAAATAACAGCATAGTATACATACAATCATTCTTATCTATAATTCTAAGACAATATTTATTATGCTGGGCTCTTTCTTTCTTCCAGCACCATTAATGTACAACACTATAAATCATAGCCTTGCAGAAAAGAGATATTGCTCCCCCCAATCTTTTTTTAATGTTACCAGGTCAAACTTTTTTTTGCAAGGTAAGTTCAGATAATTTCCACGAAATCTGTCTCTTACAGAAATTTTATGAGGACAACATGAACTTCTTATTTCTGCAGATATTAAGTGCCTGCGAGGTGACAGCTTATATGGCAAGCTTGGCCCTGAGCGTTGAAAGATAACAAAGCCCGATCATTCCTGCTCTGATCAGGGACACGGTCGTGAAGGGAATCTTACGATGCTGTGTGGTCACCGCTCCACTGAAGGGACCCGTGAAAAGCAGGAAAAGCAAACCAGGGCAGTTTAAGAGTAAAGTGTCTCAAAGGAGTTTTTCAGGCAGATGGCGTACGTTGAGGTAAGAGGGGTGGATGGGTTTCCCCAGGAAATAGCAGGATATGCAGAGGTCTAGAGTAAAAATGTTCACAGGCTGGAATCATTGGAGGTTAAGGGAGACTCACCAGGAAGGCTGAGAGAGAGGCTGAGGGTTGGGCCCCAAGCCCTGGGAGAAGGGGTCCCTGCCTCCCTCCTAGCCTTGTGGAGCAGAACCAGCCTGTGATCACTCTGACAATTATTCAATTATAATTCACTCCCCTTCACTCTCAGCTCTCTAATGACAATGGCCTTCTCCCAGAACTCTAAACTACCTTGCTCCTTCCTGCTGTGGGACCTTTGGCCAAGCAGTTCCCCGTGTCTGAAATGCTTTCTTCCATCCCTCTCCCCTTTGTTAATTTCATTCTGTCTTCAGGTCTTACCTCCAATGTCTCCTCCTCAGGGGGCTTCCCAGAAGCCCCTTTCCAGGGAATTCTCACCATACATAGCATCCTACGACCCTGAATTTCCTCCTGACCCATGTCACTCCGCAGTTAGACAGGGACTAGCACCATTATTTGTATCATGCCTGTCTCACCCCCAGGAGCCTGCCAGCCCCATGAGCTGTTTCGCTGGCACTAAGTTTCCAGCACCACGGTACACATCTATTTGGTTAAATTCACTAGCCTGAATAATATAAGGATGCTACGAGTTTACTTCGCGATCCGTTTGATCACATGACTTTCTTACATCTTTCACACACATGTAAGGAAATATTTACAAATCCTGCTCCTGCATCGTGAAGAATCCAAAAGTATTTCAAACAGCAGTGAATTCTGTAGAAAAGAGGAACTATCTGATCAAAAGGGAGGTGCTTGGCTGATATGCACATAATCACTCATGGCTAGAAAAGGCTCTCCTGAATTTTAAAAATCGGTAACACGAAGCACTCCTGATCTAGTTTTTTCATGTAGTAAGTCTGTGATGAAAAGGCTCTCCTGGAAGTCTGGAATGCTTTCTCATCAAAGCCATTCTAGTGATCAATATTCATTATGAGAAAGGTAATTTAGTTACAGGTGACCAATCTCATTAGCTGATTTGGGAAACACACAGCCCAAGGCATACTTTACACAGTGGCCATGCGGTAACAGCCAACTCACCACATGCTAACTCTGTGAAGTCGCTGTCATTATTCTGAGATTACAGACCCAGAAACTGAGATGCAACAGGCTAAGTTACTGGCCTGAAGTCAACCAGGTGGTGGGTACCAGAGCTGGGATCTGAACCCAGGCAGCTGGACTGCAATATCCACATTCTTAACAACTAGGCTCTGTAGGTAAGAGGCAAGGTCACTCAAACAAATGTAGTGATGTTTAAGTCGAGGGATATTTCCAGCCCTGCACGAAGAGATGCTTTCGTACAAACTGGGGCTTCAAACAATCAACGTGGAACTTTCTTTCCTGACATAGACACATTTTAAAAACCAACTTATTTGGTGTACTTTTTCTTCTGGGGTCTCACAGATGATCTCAGACTCCTTTTAAAGTGTATTTAAGAATATTGCTTGGTAATGTGAGGTGTTAAACTGCTTCTCTGCATGTGGTTATTTTAGGGAGCCATTACATTTAATTTCAGAAGCCAGTTCCTTCTAATTGGAATCTAGTCTAATTGAATTGACTACTATACGCTACTTTTCTCTTTGTCATGGTTTTTCCCCCTAACTGACGCTGCCCAGGCAGCTTAAGTGTCTAACCTCTACCCTTCACCCTTAGGAATTATTTTTACTGTGAGCTGCATGAGAATTATATTTACAAGAAGGGGTTCCTGGCTGGCCAGAGCTGTGAGGCAATCTGGAATGATTTACATGGGAATCCTACTTAAGCACTTGGGTAACTTTCAGCGATTTGCTCTGTTCCCAGGGAAGGTCTGCCAGTCAGGACCGGTTCAGGACTTACCGTCATCACTGCAGCTCTCCTCATCACTCCCGTCCTTACAGTCCTCATCTCCATCACACTGGAAGGTGCTGGGGATGCACTGTCCGTTTCTGCATTCCACCAGCCCCTGGCTGTGACATGCTAGGAAATGCCAAAATGACATGCACTTTAATTATCTATACTTCATTCAGTCTGCAGATCATAGAAATGATTCCCATTTATCTGGCATCACCAAACAATAAAGTGTTCTGAATATCTGACTGTTCTGCTTAAATGAATGAATAGATCATTAATTTTTTCGTTTCAAGTATTTCTGGAATGGAAAGTTTTCTTTCCAGAATTTCTCTTGACTTATCAAATAGCACTTACGAAAAACTAACTTTTTCATGATCACTGCATGGTAAAACATAGTATTTATGACAGTAGTAGTTATACTACTAATATAAAAGCTACAATTAAAGGCTTACTTCATGGCAGTAACTATGTTAGGAGTATTACATGTCTCATCTCAAATCCTCATAACAAACTTGCAAAGCTGATATTATCAACCTTGTTTAGAATAAGGAAACTGAAGCTTAGAGAGTTTAGTGTGTCTCTTAAAGTCTCAAGACTGTTGAAAGGTAGGGCCAGGATGTGAAGGCAAGCTTTTCGAACCCTAAACCCCAGCATTTCACCTAGTGCCCCAATGAAATGGTGCATGTGAAAGAATGGCATAGAACTCACCTCAAAATAAACACTTAACTTCAAAACTTGTTTATGACATCTGACATTTAAAAGGGATGGTCTAGTGGCCATTAACCTTCCAATTCCTGAAGGTTGTCTTAATTCTATACCTATTGTCTGTTAGAGCCTCAGAGACCCATGTATCATGTGACCGCAGCCTTCACTGAGTTTATGTTTCTATACACACACACACACACACACACACACACACACACTCATGCATACATGAGCACCATCTCCTTGCTTTTCCAAGATTCATCAAAATATAGTCCACTCTGTTCCACTCTGTCCACTAAGCAAGGACTCAGGTGATGTTCCAGTTCAAATTCAATTCTGGAAAGGAGAGAGCTGGGCATTGCATTCACTAACTAATGTTTATGACTTTTCTTATGTCAAAATAAAAACCATGCAACCCACATTTCTATTTTTGCCTCAAATTACAGGCAAATTAAATAGTCAGTCTCACATATATCTGCTTTTTCTAATTTGATTAGACAGCAAAAAATGGAATAAAAAGTGTAATTAGTTTGAAAATGTATCATATTCACTCTTTCAGGTCAACTTTACTCTCTTTTAACACCTACCTGCCTCTGTTCAAACATTTTATTATACTCTACTGAGTATAGTGCTATTTCTAGGGGGAAAAAAATGACAAGTAACACCTGATTTTATTAGGGAGTGGTATAACAGCTACCAGGAGACGCTTTACTCACCCAGAACCACAACAAGCTCTGAAGTTTTATTATTGTCACACACTGTCACTCTCTGACCCCTGAAGGCTCTCCTCTCTCTGCCAGGTCTCTCCAAGTTCTCCCACAAATGGCACCTGAGAGCATGTCTGGAGGCTCCTGCTTAACAGCTCATATATTGTTTGCAGAAGAAAAGTCCCCCAGCCCCTGGGAGGAACATCCCCTCTGACAAAGCCACAGATGCAGAAAGGAGATACATGGGCAACAAGAGAGAAAACAGCCACCTGCTTGGCCAGAGAGGCCAGATTAGGCTGGGAGATGTGGAGAGAGAGACGCAGAAGGCTGTGGTCACCACACCACCCAGTTATTGTCGTTACAGGCCAGGGCCAGAGCAGAAGAATCTGTTTAGATAGCGAGCCTTGAGCATATCTGACTAAACAGGCAGAAGCGGGGAAATAAGCAGAATGAAAATCCTCAGGACACTCACAGCAGTTGGCTTCATCGGACTTGTCCACACAGTCGTGGTCACCGTCACACACCCACTCGATGGCGATGCAGCGCCCATCTCCGCAGCGATGCTCCTCTGTGGGGCTGCAATCTACAGAAAACAAGGACCTCCAAGGATGTCGGGAACTAGCATGACAGACGCTCAGAACTGTACAGCTCGTAGCTCTAGAAGAGAGTCTGTTCCCATCACTCCGGTGCCTTCAATAACCCTTCTATGATGGGACATCACCTCCCACCTAAGCATGCGGCCCTCTGGCCACCATCACTATGGGGTAAGACCTGTCCGTTTTCCAGATGAATAACAACCACCCAGCTTCCTTAGAGCCCATAGAATGTCTTGCTTTCTGTTTTGTTTAGTCATTGTTTTCTTTCCTTATGAAAACTTTGTGATTTTTAACTGGCTCAAATGAACAGAACTGTGATTTGGGTTTCACAATGCAGAACAGCTGATTTGATGATCTGTGACAATGCTGTCCTGTTTCTAAGAATTGCAACTTACCTCTCTATAGGAAAAGGGCAAGGCAGATCTGCTCCTGTCATCTTTCCTGATGCTAAACTTGGCTTTCCTACTGAGCTGTCTTAATATATAACTCATAGCTGAAGGAACTCCTGGGAAAAAAATGCCAAATATTTGTTTTCCTTTATGATTCCTTTTGTCTTGGATTTAACGTCTGTCCCAAACTATACTTTCCTAGGGAAAAAAGAGAACTAAGTGATGTTTCTTCTCACAAAGGGCAGAATCTAAAGCATTCTTTGCCGTGAGACATGGAATCACCTTAACATAAACAAGCCTCTGAAAGACATTTGTAGATCCATGAATAACAGATTCAATAATGAGGAACTATCATAAGTTTCCATCAACAGGGCTACTGTCATTGACAGACTTGTAGAGGGACCATGGATCTTGGAGGATGTATTAAGTGGAGAAGATAGAAGATGTAGGGGAGAGAAAAGTAGAAAGACACAATGGGGGGATGCTTGGGCAGGACCCAGAAAAGCTAGCACACTCTCAGCCTGCAAAAGATGCTGGAAGTGGGAGCTGGGGCAGAGACTGGTCTAAGAGAAAATCATGATTATTACCATTAGATAGAGACAAAGTCACCCTAAGAGTGCAAACTTCATGAAATCCTGCTGTCTTCAGAAGAATTACATTGAATGGTAAGACTCTTGCTCTTCCCGCACTAACTATAAACTGGTCCTCTCCACTGACCTATTTAACTACCAAGCTACACTCAAGGCCTCCCCTCTCCTCCTTTTTCTTCTCTTTTCTCCAGTTATCTCATTGGTAAAAGGAAGGGTTAGATTAGATCATCTCTAAAGCCTCTTCCAACTATAAATTCTATGACGCATACAGTTACAGTTGCTTCACATTCTTTGTCCCAAGACAAGGCAGTCCAGTCCCAGAAAAGAATCTATATCTATTGTTATGACCTGTGGGATGGTTTGTACATATATACATTTTCCAATATTTTTATGGATGCAGTGAGGGGCAATTAGACATGTGCTTCTAGGAACTACCAGTTTCCCATCATGGGGCCATTTCTGACACTCACCACTCTGAGGCATTTCTCTGATCATACTCCTGACCATCCCCTACCCCTATACTTCCTCCGGTATTCTCTAATGCTGAATATTGTTTCACATCATTGGCCCGATGTCTCTCCTCATCTTGTTCACATTAAAAAGTTCTTATGTCGCTCAAGAATATACTACCTAAGGATTCTACAGCTAATCACAAAGTCAAAAAGGTAAATAAGCAAGGAGAATTTTGCTGGGTTTAATTCATGAGAGGTCATTCAGAACTGAACACAGCTCTTTAAAAGGTAAGTTCATTCTTTTTTTAATTATTGAGATATAATTGACATATACCATTGTATAAGTTTACGCTGAAAGAACTCAGAAAGAGAAAGATAAATACTGTGTGGGGTCTAAAAGAGCTGAATTTGTACAGACAGAGAATAGACTGGTAGTTACCAGTGGCTGGCGGGTAGGGGCTGGAGGAGAGCAATTGGGAAGATGCTGTTACAGGTACAAATGTGCAACTAGCAGGTAGGTTCATTCTTTAAAAGATGAGATCAATTTTTACACATAAAACAATGCCCCCTCCTAACCCTAGATGTCACCACAGTAGAAGTCACTCCTGTAGTGCTTGGCGATCAAATTAAAGAGGGGTCTTTGGTTATATATATTAAGGGGATCAGGAACAAACAATATATCTGTCAGCAAGGTTTTGCTCAAAAGCTCAAAATCTAAACATGAGCTACTGGCTCCAGCTAGAGAAGAAACAGAACACTTTCAAAGAGAAAGAAAAAAATTAACCCCCGTTTCCACACCACTTGTGTAGCATTTCCTTAGTATGACTTTATGTAAGAAATATTACATTGACACATAAAACACAATTCAGACTAGTAACTGAAAAACTCCACCTCTTTCTAGAAAGTAAGAAACCACTCGTTTTGTAA